CCTGGGCAGTACTTTAGGATTTAATCCTTATTAGATAAGTAATAAAGTGAAGTTGTGGCAACCACTTAATAGGAGCAAGTGATCTTTCCTACCTGATGAATTTAATTTCAGAATTCTACCAAGTCTCTTTTAGTTTCTATGTTTGCTAGTTTCTCCATTTATTGGTTTGGCGCGTATTCTGGTCATATTGCATTTCTCTAATTACCCCTCTACAAAAACCATAAACCACAAGGGAAAAAAAGATGATAATAATAACATAAACAGACATGATGTGGGAGTGAAGAGGTAAAATAATCATGATTCTTATATTTTCTTTAAATTTTAGCCATGATTCTCATCTCGGAGATGTACCTAAGCCAATCATTAAAAGGTCATACCTTGAATAAAAATGTGTTTCAATTGTGTCACTCATGCTGTTTTGGCTGACTTCTTTTCTTTGCTTCTTAGCAATCCCATTGCTTTAGTGTTTCTTTTGAAAATCCCCTTGGGATCCCTCTCCTACTGCAAATAACTAATTTTCTTGTTAAAATTATTCATTGCAGAGAGGTCTGATGGCTCTTGCTGATGTAGAGGGAGCACGAATTCATCTAAAAAAGTTGTCAATCATGCATCAAATGGCTAGTTGGGAATCCATTCAGGAGATCCTCATTAGCCACTACACTCGACAACTTCTTCATGAGATGTACAAGGTAAGTATTAGATCCTATTGGCTGAAATCATTGAATGCTGTGGGTTGGTGCTACCACCCATCTAAGGGGTGGGAATTATGGAGGATGGAAAGAAGCTAGTTGAAGGGATAAACTATCTGCAACTCTATTTTCTTTCTTTATTATGTTGTATGGGTTTAATTGTAGCTTTTATACACATAAGATATTACAGAATATATAGGTTGTTTATATTAATTAGTACTTAAATTATTTTCCAAGTACAAGGGCTTATGGGTTATATATGGTATTTTGCATTTCTACTGAGGTTTAGGGTTTAGAAAACCTATGTTATTTTAGTTTCAACTACGCTTGATTTATTGTTGAGATATTGATATTTTGATTATTTTGGAGATTGGTATTTTAGCTATTTGGATATTTGGTTATTGATATTTGAGAATTTTGGTTGAGAATTCAGATTATTTTTGTGAGCGTTTTAATTATTGTTCTATGTCAATTTGGTATTAGAGTAAAATAGATCTACAAGTTTTGAGTTGTGAGAGAAGGTTTTTGAGTTAATTTGAGAGAATTTCGGAAGTTTAGTGAGTGATTTCAAAGCTATGAGAGAATTTTCTATTGATTTCAAAGTTGTTTAAGGCAAAAGAAGTAGGTAAAATAGGAGTTTTCAAGATTGATTGAAAAAAATTCTCTCAAAATCAAAGCTGCAAATCTTGTCTACTTTGATACCACATTGATGTCGAACATGTATTCTAAAACACTCAATAATAGCTAAATATCTCAATTGCATGAACTCAAATCTCAAGTTTCAAAATTGAAATCTCAATATCAAAATATCAATCATCAGAATTTAAATTCCAAGTTTTAGTGAATCTATATATATGAGCTTCACAAGCCTAGGTTTTAAGCCCATCGAAAGTAAAGCGCCTACACACTGAGTAAGGTCCAATACAATGAACAAACCAACATAATAGATTGAATCCTATTTTCTAAATTTATGCCTAGAATAGACATTCTTCCAAAATTTGAAAGAACCATCAGTGGGCTTACCCATAGGCCTCCCATCAAAATTTCTTGTCCTGCTGCTCCATTGATACTACAACTTGAACCTAGGATCTCTAACCGAATACCATACTTACCACTTGAGTAAGCCCAGTTGGCTATGATTAATGTCTTTTAATTTGGGAAATATATCACCTTATATCTTATGTTTGTCCTTTTATGCTTTAGAACTTCATTCTTCCTTTCCAAAGTTATGCTTTGGTCTCTAATTCTCTTAGAATCCATTTCAAACTAATTAGTTCTCCACAGTTTACCATGTTTGAATTTCATTACTGCTATGTGTAGTATGTTCAAGATGCTGCTGACCGTGTTGCATTAGTTGTGATTCATCTTGTCGAGACTAATCAGTCTTTCTTGGGTTCCTACTTGTGTAATCTGCAGGTGTTTGGCTCTGCTGGCGTTATAGGTAATCCCATGGGATTTGCCAGGAGTCTAGGTGTTGGAATTAGAGATTTCTTAGCAGTTCCTGCGAAGAGTATTTTGAAGGTAATGAAATTCTTTATTCTTTGTTAACTTTAACTATGCCTCATTAGTGGAGGACTAAAATACGGTGATTTCTTTTAGAGTCCTACTGGACTTATCACCGGCATGGCTCAAGGTACTACTAGTCTTCTGAGCAATACGGTCTATGCACTAAGTGATGCTGCCACTCAGTTCAGTAAAGCTGCACACAAGGTATCACTAGATCCAACATGTTCTGAATAATTAATGTTTTTTCTAAATTTTATTATTTATGAGGAACATGAATTATTCAGTTAAATATCATTGATTGAAAATGGAATGCTATATTGCTTGTAGGGTATTGTTGCATTTACATTTGATGACCAAGCTGTTGCAAGAATGGAAAAGCAATTGAAGGGGGAAGCTTCACACAGTAAAGGCATAATAAATGAATTCTTTGAGGTATATTATCCTTATGTTGTCTGTATATCTTTTTAGTTCTTTTCATTTGTGTTCGTCCTATATGGATGATAAATACTGCACTGCAAGCACCAAACCCTGTTACCTTGTTAAGGCTGCAAAGAAATTAAGCTGTTCGTTAAAAGATACGTCTTTTTATGGGGAGCCTGTCAGGATAGAGATGCAAAATTGCTAGTCTGGCTACAGTGCTACTGCATACCTCTTCAAGGTTGAGTCTTATTTTACTGTTGATTTCAGGGACTTACTGGCCTCCTTCAATCACCGGTTAAAGAAGCAGAGAAACACGGCCTACCAGGCATCCTCTCTGGTAAACCACTGGCACATAGTTGACTGCATGTCTTTATGTACCACATTGCTATCATGATCAACACGACATGCATCATCACCTGGAATACTTTATTTCTTTCTTTTGTACAGGAATAGCCTTGGGAGTAACAGGATTAGTGGGAAGACCGGCCGCTAGTATACTCGAGGTTACTGGAAAAACTGCACAGAGTATAAGAAACAGAAGCCAACTGTACCATATGGGATCACAGCATTATAGAGTTCGTTTACCAAGGCCTCTAAGCAGAGAACTTCCTTTGAGGCCTTACTCTTGGGAAGAAGCTGTTGGAATATCGGTGCTTAAAGAAGCTGATGATGGCAAGCTCAAGGATGAGGTGTATGTCATGTCCAAAGTACTAAAAAATCCTGGTAATTTTGTCATTGTGACGCTGAGACTTGTGCTGGTAGTTAATTGCCCAAGTCTGGTGGACTTTGGGAAACCTGAATTTCGAGGTGTCGCAGTAAATCCCGAGTGGGTGATAGAAACAGAAATTAGCCTGCATAGTGTAATCCACACTGATGCTGATGATGCGGTGGTACATATTGTTGGAAGCAGTTCAGATGCCTTACTGAGACAGAAGCAGCAGCTGTCAAGGAAGGGTGGCGGGACAAGGAAGCGGTGGAACAATCCATCAGCTCCTCTTCCACTCTTTCAGACCAACTTGGAACTGGCATCAGAAGAAGATGCAAAAATTTTTTTACAGGTTTTGCTTTCTACAATTGAACAGGGAAAAGAGCAGGGGGGAAGTGAATATCTGTTGCACCGAAGTAACATCAAGTAGAATTCCTTTATTAGGAAATACCTAGAAGAAGTTGAATTGGAAAGCATATTCTTTTCACTTGCAATTATTGATGCATCCTTTTCATGTATAGTTTGTACAAAATTATAATGTACAGTAATATATTTGTGTCAAATTTTTTTCATTATTATCATTATTTTTTTCAGTACAAGTTATCTCCACTAAATTTCAAAACTTCAGTTCCGAAAAGGTCTATTACTTTGTTCTGTACTCCTTAATGTAATTCTTGGTCCGGTGAGAGTGCAGATTTTTGGAGGTTGAGTTGGAGAATAAATCAGGTCTTTTTGTGACAGGAGATGTCAGAGGTAGTACTCAGGGAATGTTTCAACGCTTAAATCAGTCATATTTATGAGGTAGGGAGCAAAGAAGAAAGAAACAGAGCAGAGAATAGGGAGAGTGTAGAGACACTCCTGATTTGATTCTCCTTTGTATATGGGGTTGGCTAGACAGGTGATATGACAACCAAGGTGGTATTGAAATGGCCACTAAGGCATGACACTTCTTATGTGAATGCCCCGCATCTTTCTAACAAATCCTTGTCTCCAATTTCTTGTGCTATAAAGTGAATAAGCACTTTTTGTGCAATAAAATGTACACATTATGAACTTTTTTTGGTATGTTTAGCTGTAAAGTACATGGAACACTTCAATAATCTATGTAATTTCTGGTAACTAAGCTGTCTTTAGTGAAATTATATTATGAGTTGAAGCATTGTAAGATGGGAAATCAGACTCCAGCCAGATTTTTTCGAGAATTCAACAATCAGCTCCTTGCTAGTAATTCTGCATTTGGAAACAGTTTAAGTTTTTTAGATGCTAAAGACAGTGTGTTCATCTTTTTATTGCTTGGATTCCAATTTGGGAGACTGAAAGAAAATTATTTCCAATTTTTCAATTTGCCAGACTCGATATAAATAAGCCTATTAGGATTGGCTCAGGGAAAGATGCATTGAACAAATCCCATGAACTTTGTACCGCCAAAAAGAACTTGTATTTCCATCTCATAATTTTCTCCGTAAGCAAAGAATTTTATTCCAAAATCAACATTCATCTGTAATTCAATAAATAGAAAATTATGACAGTCCTTTTCATCCTAGTTCAACATCTACCACGATAGTCAACAGAAAGTCAAGTACAAAGATAATCTTTCAGAACAAAATGTTGTCTATGTTACATGTATTTAGAAAATTAGATTAGAAAGATAGATTTCAGATTAATGAACCTAACACGAATCCTCCGAAGCCGAATAAAGTCAACAACCAAGGAGACTTGCTCAGAACGAAAACCAATTAAATTCAAAAGCTGCCCTTTCAAGGCATGATACATGGATGCTGCTTGGAAATTTGTCAATGGAGGGACAGAGTAGAAACCACTAAGAAACCATTATGCATCAGTTGCCAAACAACTTGAGAGATACTTTCTAGTCTAGAGGAGAGCAATAATAATAAATTTAGCTTACAGTTGGACGATCCGCCATGGCAAAGACCGTTCTGGTAACTGGTGGAGCTGGTTTTATTGGAAGCCACACGGTGCTGCAGCTGCTATTTGGGGGTTACAATGCAGTGGTGGTGGACAATCTCAACAATTCCTCTGATATTGCCATCAGAAGAGTCAAAGAACTCGCCGGCGAATTTGGCAACAATCTTTACTTTCAGCAGATGGACCTTCGAGATAAACCAGCGCTGCAAAAACTTTTTGCAGAAAGAAAGATTGATGCCGTGATACACTTTGCTGGATTGAAAGCCGTAGGTGAAAGCATGAAGAAGCCATTGCTGTATTATAACAACAATCTCATTGGAGCAATCACCTTGTTGGAAGTAATGGCCACCCATGGATGCAAAAATCTTGTCTTTTCATCATCAGCTACTGTTTACGGATGGCCAAAGGAGGTTCCATGTACAGAAGAGTTTCCAGTGGCTGCAATCAATCCTTATGGAAGAACCAAGCCTTTCATTGAACAGATTTGTCGAGACCTGCAACATTCAGACCAAGAATGGAAGATCATATTGCTAAGATATTTTAACCCTGTTGGTGCACATCCTAGTGGCTATATCGGAGAAGATCCCCGTGGAACTCCAAACAATCTCATGCCATACATGCAGCAAGTTGCTGTTGGTAGGCGACCAGCCTTGACTGTTTTTGGAAATGATTATTCCACCAAGGATGGCACTGGTGTACGTGATTATATCCATGTTGTTGATTTAGCAGAAGGTCACATTGCTGCACTACAAAAACTATCTGATCCGAAAATAGGCTGTGAGGTCTATAATTTAGGAACAGGGAAAGGAGCATCAGTTTTGGAGATTATTGCAGCATTTGAAAAGGCATCTGGGAAGAAAATTCCTCTTGTAATGGCTGGAAGGCGACCCGGTGATGGTGAAATAGTTTATGCTTCAACTGAAAAGGCAGAGCGTGAGCTGAACTGGAAGGCTAAATACAACATTGAAGACATGTGCAGGGACCAGTGGAACTGGGCCAACAAGAACCCGAATGGTTACCAATCTCCTGAGAATTAGGCTAAGAATTTTTCGTGCTTTTGTCACCAGGTCTCCTGGTTTCTCGAGTCTTTTCAGATTAAGGTTCTTAACTTTTGTTTTCTTTTTAGCACGAAGAAGCATGGTTTAAAATAAGAGATCGCAAGTATTGAAATTCGATTCAAAATTTATTAAATGTTATCTATTAAGAATAAATATATAAATCAACTAAGTTTCAGGTTCTTGATAGCAATTTTTAATCGTTACTACTAAAAATATACAAACAATATTGCAAATTTGGCCTAATAATTGTTATCCTCCTCCTGACGATCCAAGCGGATATTCAAATCTTTACTCCCCTTTACGTCCCCTATGCATCAAAGACAAAACGAATACAGCAGTAAAGATTATCTGAACCATAAGATTTGCTATGAACATATCGTAATAGTTGATAACTTCTATTCATGACTTAAATGAAGCATTCATGGTGTCACAAGCCATTATGGTCCATAATATGATTTGACGAATTTGAATCCTAATCGCTCATAGCTAACAAGAAGCATGATGCTGCAAGCCAATATAGACCATAAGATATATCATAGTTGAAATACTCATCATCACTCATAGCTAGGGTTCACTATAAAATCTGTTTGGTCATAAAGCATCCAAAGTGGACAGCATGTGAGTGCTAAGCATTAACATTTACAAGTATCTAACAAGAATCCAAGATATGTACTCATACATCATTATCTATAAATTAATGTTGTCATAAGTTAAAATATTTTCACCTTAAATATTGTAACTGATTGAATGCGATAAATTTTCAATGTATTATTAAGATAGATTTTTTTTTTGAGATCTTATATCAAATGATCTGTTTAGGTGTATTCTTTAAATTTAAGTATTTTAAAGTTTTTTTTATCAAATTATGAATATGTTGACATGTCGTTCATGATTAAGTATCATATAGTCTTAAGAATCTATAATATATATCATATAATCAAATTTAGGGTTTACCATACTATTTAAGACGATGGATGTTTTTTATGTAAATTCACGTCTAGTATGTCATGTATTATCTTATCATTTAGATTATATAAAATAATGGATTGTATTAAATATGCCCTCGAGGCATTTTTAATATACAAAAATTATCATTATAATATTTCATCTAGATTAAGTTTCATTTCATATTACTTTGTATTTGTATAAATTGAGTGGTAAGGGAGTGATATGCATCATTAATAGTTGATAAATCATCTAAAACTGTCAACCCACATGTATCTAGAAATCTTTCTAGACGTATGTCTGATAGTACACATATAAATTATTCATATATCATTGCTTGTTATCAAGAACAAAATTAAGAAATATGTTCTTTAATCTGCAAATGAATGTGTATTAATCTGAAATTGATAAATCGATGATGAATTTATCGTATACATATCTTGTTTAATATCTCTTAACCGAGTTCTTTAATAAAGATGGGACAATAACTTTGAAACAAACATCAATTCCAAGAATATAAATAAACCAATTGACGATTGTTAATCAAACTTTGAATTTCAATTACTCCAGAGGTAAAACACACACCGTAGCAGCTGTAGCCGATGAACAGGCCCTTTAGAATCCAAGAAGAGTGGTATTGGCTGAGTTGTTGGATCAATTATGTTTCGGGTCCTAGTTTTGAACTTCGGCGAGCCCATTCTTTAACTGCCAATCGACCCCATGTCTAGTATGGACTCGGGAAGGAAGGAATTTCAATCTGGCCTGAGAATTATCCTAAACGGCTTAAGGACCTTTTGGGGAAAGATTAATGATGATAGAATGTGTTATAACATAATTTTTTTATTAAATATTTTTTTAATTATTTCCAAATTTGGAGTAAAATGATAATTGATAAATTTAATTTAAAATTAAAAGTGTAGCAATAAAATTGAACCAGATAAAAGATTAATTATAAATTTAAATCATTCATATAAGTAGAATGATAAATTTATACTTTTATTAAAAAAAAAAATAGTTCAAGTTTGTCATATGCTAATGAAATAGACTTACCTACACGTTAAAATTCCATTTACAAGTTCGATTTTTTAAGAAAAAAAATTGTAGAAACCAATTTAAATTAAAATATTATTTTATATATGAACAATGTAGTTAAATAATGCTCTATTATTATAGAGGAATCTGGATGCATAAATAGTTCTAGAAATGATACTACTCAACACCCTGTCCTGTTTTTTTTCTTTAATTTTCCAGAAAAATATTTTTATTTTTAATAATTAATTGTACCCTACCAAAGAGATTAGATGGGTGTTGAAGCAAAGCATTTATTAAATACAAGTTGTTTTCACTTTCCATTGTGTTGACCAATTGAAGAAAAGCAAATGGAAACGTGATTGTCATATCAATAAAATAGTCATTTCAACGTTTTCATGACATAACATAAAAGACTTTTATTGCAAGTCGGCCCTACTAATTTCCTTTGGAAAAACCCAAAAAGAAATCTACCTTCGGAAAAAAACTTCTTCAAATTTCTTCCAAGTCTCATGTCAATAATTTCCTTCTAGAACATCGTGTAGACTGGGGCTACTAGTGAAGTCTTAATCATATATAACACTAAGTCATAAATATAATAGTTGTGGTGAAGAAAGTAGTGTGGGATGAAAATCAACTAAATGGTCCAACCACTTCATTATTGATGCCTTGCCTTGTGTTTTGGGATAATAAGTTTGTCTGAAAGGAGATGTGGGATACAATTTCTTTGCCATTTTGTAGGTGTATGAGATTATTTTTTTTGAATATTAAGTTTAATATTGAAATTTCTATTTAGTATAGAAAAATAATTTATGTGATTGATTGAAAAGAGAAAAAAGAACTCATAATTTTTAAGAAATTAAAAGATCACGGGCAATCACGCTTAATTAAATATATTTATAGAGCATTAAGTTAATAATAATGAGGATTAAAGTTAAAATAACTTTTAAGTTTATTATATTAATTTACAAATTCCAAAAGAGGGGCCATAGGAATAAACTTTGGTTGTTAATTATATAATTATATATTGATTTGTTGGTTGTTAGTTTTAATTTGTTTATTAATTCATATTAAAAATTATTTAATCATAATTATAACTTTTATTAATATTTAATTTATAAAAAAAAAAAAAAGAAACAAGGATTTTCAAAAGCTATGGTGGAGGGATCAACAGAGTATAATCTTGATAATTACCACTAATATTATAATAATAAAAAAGAAAAAGAATAGGGCCAACCTACACTTGAAAAAGAAAAAAAAATTAATAAAGCAAGATAAACATGGCCAGAAGTGGGTCAAATAAAGCATTGCAATTTGTAATCTGTACCTAAAAAAAGGTAATATGCATAACTTTTTTCTTGTTCTTGGCCTTCCATGTTTCTTTTTTTCTTTTATTTTGACCAAATGGAAGAAGTATTGGTCTTCCACTCTTCCTTGTAATCATTATCACAACCACAAGTTTTCTTTTGGTTCATTTACATTTATTTAGATATGAAAAACCCAAGCAAATAAATCATTTTATTATTATTGAGATTCATTAAACAATGAAAAATTTCTTTGAAATAAAATTATAATTCATAAAGTGTAAAAATACATGTCTTCAAGCTTTTGATTTAGTGATTAAAAATATTTGAAGGGACATCAAAGATCTGATTTCAAGCCGAGCCTTCCTCTTCCCCTTTACTTGTATTGTCCTATTGATGTAACAAAAAAAAAATATTACTCAAATTTAAGTATTTGTTTATAAATATTACACAAAAATTATTGTAATTAATTAATTAATTTATACTCATCAATTAAGAAGAATCAATTAAACTAAGAAGTTCAAAATCAAATTGGATTTAACTTGTTTAACTTTTATTTTTTTTTTGCTTTGAATATTGGACATCATGTACTTTCCAAACATTGATACGTAACCTATAGTTAATAGTAACGCTAAAACGTCAATGATGCGAAATAGATATTCAAGTTCAAAATTTTGCCAACACAAACCTAAATGAAACTCTAGATTTTGAGGGACTTACAATAGTTAAGCTATTGAAATAATAAGGCAACAACAGCCTATAGGCAAAGTGTTGAGATTGGATTAGGTCAATGGTTTTTTTCTCCATTTCTATAGTAATGAATGAGGTATTGATGTACGTTTATACATCCTAGAAAAATCAATCTGTTAATAAAAAATCCTAAGCAAGATTTCCCATAATATTATATTTTATTGATAGATCGTAACTTAAAAATAAAAAAAATTACAAATATTAAGTTTAAATTTTAAATTTATTAAATAACACATCTTAAAAATAATTATATAAATTAATTCAATTAAATTACGGATTCATAATATTATTTGAACCTATGCATTCATGTCAAGAATATCTGATGTAAGTCTCATATTCTTAAATTATATGCTAAAATATATCTCCTCGGTGATGCCTTGGAATCCAGGCAATTTGAAGTCAAAAGTTATGATTTCCTTCCTTTTTTTTTAACACAGTCGAGGATATTCTCAAATATTATCTGAATTTATTTATTTTTTTTTGAAGTAACTCCTCAAAAAGTGACAATGTCTTTGGCATGAAATGAAATGTCACTATTACAAGAAAGAAAACAAAAAGAAGAAAATGAAGGCTTTGGGAACGTTCCTTTCGTGCTACATATCAAGTTATTTTGGACTTGTGGTCACTTGCACAATCATAAAGTGAAACCATCCATAATTCAGGTAGTTTCTTTGAACTTTCAATCAGCTACCTACGATTTGGAAAAAATTGTCTTCATTCTTATTTTAGTGACTTCAATTTAAAGCCATTGCAATGAAAGGTTTCATTTTCATGCACTACTTTTGTTTTTATGTTATTTTAAATATATTTTTAATCATCATTCGTGTAATTTACAATCCATGTTCATATCTATAAACAGTAACGACGGATATTCGAGAAAGGAGGAAAAAATTTAGATAAAATTTGTGAAATATTTTGCTAAAATTTATTAAATAAAAAATAAAATTAAAAATCTAAATTAATAAATTAAAAGATCTTATTATATAAATCAAATGTGTAAAAGCCTTAACAAATTTGGTTACATGTGTACTTTTCCATATATCTTTTTCACTTGCTTGGACTATTATCTCTCATTAGTCATTACATAGTATATAAATGAATTAATGTATAGTTTGGTTTTTGAATTATATTATTTTTGACAATTTGGTATGTAT